GTTATTCCCCAGCTACAGTCATAATCCTGTTTGTAACATCGCAATCACTTACCCAGCAAACAATCAAGGTGTCAGTAACAAAGAGTTATGGCTTTAGGTGGGGGAAAAACTACAGGACACAGATGAACTCTGAAGAAATATATATTTTTTCATGCAAATGTGGCTAGTAATAAATAAACAGAGATGAAAATAATGATGAAACAGAATATCCTATAAAACATATTGAGGAAGTATAAAAATAGGATGTCTTTAAAATTTCTTCTCTCTGGAAGTATTATGCACTGGGTGTAAGGAACCAATTACAATTTTACTGTTTAAAAATGGAATTTATGACTAGCAGACTATAAACACACTGGACAAATAGTTCAGAATGATTTTTGGTATAATAAATTTAGATACTGAGCATACACATAAACACCAGCTTTGTATATCATTCAAACCAATTGTCTAATAAGATTAAGTATCGTCCACTTTTGATATTTGTGCTCTTTGTGGATCATTTGTATCAACTGGATCCTAAATTTGTTAATTGATCCATCTGTTAATTTATCTGTATATTCAAAGATAGTGGTATAATCTCATAAAGACCTGATGATAATAAGCAAGGTAGAGTACTTTCCAGTTCTTAAAGTGGCCAAACCAAGATGAGATGAGCATTGATCAAGATATTGACAGGAACTGAGTTATAGGAAAAAAAAAAGAACTGTTTTTCTTTTTCTGAAGAAAGGCATTATTTTTAATATCTTAGAATTCTATTAAAGAAGGGAAAACATTTTGTAACATTCATTAGTTCAATAAAAATTTTCTGTGCGCTTCACATATAAGGCACAGATTAAGTGGCCTTAATGGTCGTAAACTAGATGTGAATGACTTCAGCAGATATCAAGCAACATTATTAAAGTCACAAATACATTCTCACATCAATTCATTTCCATCATGTCTATCTTCCAAACTGTAAAATTACAGAATTTCATATTGCTATTACAGCCCTAGGCAAGTTGAAGTAAAAAATGGCTAAATCCCAACACGTACATTAAAGTAGGTAACCATTTATCTAATATTTAATACATTTATTTAACCATTTATTTAATATTTAACTTGGGTAAACTGTACTATACTATACTAACTTGGGGATTAGTAATATGGTTGGAATTCTTCTGGAATATCTGTAACTCAGTTCCATGGTCAGGGCTAGTAACTTGCCTTTTACAGCAATTTTAAGCTTTTTTTTCAAAACGAGAAAACACACTGAAGCTGCATCAGGCAAAGGCTCTAATCTTATTTAGTTTTTATTTCCTCATTAGACTAATATCAAAGGAATTAAGGAACTTTTTCTAAATGTGCAGTTATGAGGAGCAAATAAAGGAAGAAGGGGACTATTCTGTAGTGATAAAGACCCTCATAGTCAATGCCAATGTCATATTGGAAATCAAGTGACAAAGTCAGTGGTACACTCCTTACCTTATATATTGGCCAGAGATTCATGATGACAACTATTTTTTGATGTATTTTTTATTCCCAAATTCTTATGTTGTAAAGGGCAATAGCATCTTAGGCATTTTATAAAATCGTCTGAGCTAGTTTATTAAACACTCAAAATATAGCTAATACACAGAATAGAATAAGGGGTCCAGTCTCTATAACAAGAATCAGATAATGCATTTTTCCATTTTGCCTGAGGACAACACTCAGAGGAACAATTTTCTTCATTATCAGAAGGGGAAAAAAACATGATAAGTTGTTTTAAAGAAGAGGAGGGTAGAAGAGAATTAAGAAAATTAAAGCTTGAGCAGACACTAAAAGAAAAATAACCTTTTCTAAACAAGTGAATAGGAAATCACTATTTTAATTATAATAAAACAGGAACCCCATGACTATTGCTGCTGCCATGGGGTGTGACCAGGTTTGGTGGCCAACCCCAGCACCAGCCATGTTTATGGGTTGACCCAATTGGGAGCCAGAGAGAAAGAGAAGAATGGAGGAAGAGAGGCAGGGAGGGAGGGAGGAAGGGAGGAAGGGAGAGATCCACAGTGTTTTCAGCTCCAAGGTCCAGAGGTGTCAGCTTGGGCTACAATGTGGCAGCCCCCGGGACAGCCTGGTAGACTCCAATAACAACAAGAGCAACAGTAATTATCTGCCCAACTTCAGCATAGCCTGGGGTTTCACTTTTGAATACCACACCAGGAATGTAAATGAACCAATCAGATTCAAGCTCCCACCAGTGGCAAGTGTTTTGAGACCATTCTGGATTATAAATAGACCAATGCGATTTAAGTTCAACCAGCACCAATCAAACAGCTAGAATTGTAAATGGACCAATCAGGCTTGAAAGGCAGGTACCCTGGAGGGGATATAAGCCAAGTTTTGAGAGACATCATCAGATTTTTCAGGGCTAAGACCACCACAGACAGATTTCTCAGGAAGATTCACTGGCACTCAGAACTCTACAGACCTTTGCATCAGATCTCCACTTCAAACTACAACCTTACCTTGCCTCTTGTTCTGCCTCTGAAATCAGCTGCAAAATTGTACTATTGGTCTGTGCCTGTTGGTTATAAAAGGATTGTGTGCACTTGGCTTATGCTAACAGCACTCAAAGACTGTACAAGGGTGCCTGTTTTCTGGCACCGTAGCCTGCCACCTATGCTGACTTGTGCTGACCAGCACTGCCCACCTGTGACGGGCACTCTTGACCTGTGTCTGGTTGACTGAGAACTATCTACCACTTTTGGTCCTCTGGCACTGCATTCTGGTTCTATCATCTCTGGCATTGGCCAGTCCAACCTTCAGAAAGGTGAAAAGTGGACTGTGGTGATACCTTAGCAGCATCACCTGAGATCAACTCTAACTGCCACCTTAGGTTGGATCCTGGTCCACCACTTACCAGTGCCATGAGGTCCAGGCTCTTGTGAAAAGGGACAATGCCATCTAGTACAGCAGCCTTTGATTTGGACTAATGAGCACTGGAGACACTATATAAGATAGGACAGCCAGACATTTGTGACCTTTTCCCATTTACCCCTTTGTTGATGAAACTCATTGTTGCTGCAGACTGAGCCTGCATGGTATTTTGCAATTGTGAACACACTGATGAAAACCCACAATGACCTGTCCACCAGTCTTTGATTATTTTAATAATATTAAAATTCAGAAAGTCAGCACTTTCAGGGACAAAAATGTCAGAAGCACTTTTGACATATATGATAAATATTCAGGGGTGACTCACTGTTATCTCACCATAAAAGATTGTGATAGAGGAAATGCTAAGAATAAAAAATTACTGAGGAGGTACATACTTAACTTTAAGATATTTGTCTTAAAAATTTTGCTCTGATAGCATATTTGGTTTTCCTGATTGCTTACTTTTCACTTATGTTACTTCCTCTTAATAAAAGGATATTTGTATTTTAAAAAACACAGAAATAAAAGGATATTTGTATTTAAAAAACACAGAAATAGGGCCTCCCCTGGTGGCACAGGTGGTTGAGCTCCGCGCTGTGAGGCTATCTGCAGCCTCTGCAGTGCCGGTTCTATCACGGCCGGCCAGCGAGTGTCCCACATGGTGCCTCAGAACTAACTTGCAAGGATGCTGTGTTTCTAATAAGTAAACAACTCCATAAGGGGAACCTATACTAACATGTCATAAAATTACAACCATTAAGCTACCCCATTATCTTCTGCTCTTTTTTTAAAATTTCTTGAATTATAAGATAATTTAATACCTTGCACATCCAACAACCCCATGATCTACTACTATCCACTACTAACACACCACTTCCTTATGACTATTGCAACAGTTCTTCATACTGACTATATTAGTAAAGGTTCTCTAGAGAAATAGGACCAATTTTGGAGACTAGTAAATCCTAAATTTACACAGTTGGCTAGCAAGCTGGAAATTTAGTAAAAAGTGATGTCGCAGTATGAGCACAGAGGCAATCTGAAGGCAGAATTCTCTCTTCTTTGCAGGACCTGTCACCTTTTCTATCTTTTTTTTTTAATTTTTATTATAGTAACATTTGTTAACATTGTATGTAATTTAGAGATATAGGATCACATCCTGCAGGTGCATGCTGTCACACCACACCTACCACAAGGCACTGAAAATCCTTCACTATAGCCCACTGTGCCCCCTTCTCACTTTGCTCTCCAATCCTCACTCCCCTCAATTCTAAAGTCCTATTTCTAGGTTTTGTTATTGGTTTGGATTTATCTAGCCCTTTGTTTTGTTTCTGTATATTCCACATGAAAGTGATACCAGCTGGTATTTTTCATTCTCCTCTGACTTCTTTTGCTTAACATAACCTCCTTCAGTTCTATCCATGTTGTCACAAATGGCAAGAATTTATCTTCTTTTTTATGTCCGATTAGTATCCCTTTGTGTATATACTACATATATCAATCTTACTAATCCACTCAGTTGTGTTTGTCTACAAATTGGATGTTGAAAATAGTACTGCAGTGAATATAAAGTATGTATATCCTCCTTCAAATTAATGATTTGCATTCTTTGCATAGATATGTAGGAGTAGAATTGCTGGATCAATGGGAAGAAAAAGATCCCACATACACTGTGAGTGGGAATTTAGACTGGTCTAACTCCTATGCCAACAGTATAGATATTTATCCAAATATTTAAAAGAAGCCTTTCTTGTAAGACCTTCAAACTTATTGGATGAGGCCCACCATTTTTTCAGTTTATTGATTTAGATGGTAATTTCACCTAAAAAACAAATGAACAACAAAAGAACATCACAGAACTATTTAGAATAATGTTTGAACAAATCTTTGTGTATTATAGCCCAGCAATGTTGACATATAAAATAATCCACCAAGCTGAACCTCCTAAAATAAGATATATTGGGACACTCATTTGTGTTTCACTAGAAAAGAGAATGACATTATTATAACCACTTTATTTTAGGTCATCTTTTTTGAAAATGTAGTAACAAAGTTTGTGCTAATACAATCTCTATAGATGTGAAAAACATTAAAATAAAATAAAATAACCTGTAATTACCAACATAAAAAATTGAGTTTCAGGCTCCTTAATGATACTGTCATTCATGACTAAACTGTCAAAGGTACACTCTTTTGATGACATAATTATTTAAAATGAAATTTAACAAATGTTCTGTCCCTATGTAACACAGTTAAACTGTTATTTCTTTTTTGTATATACTGCATTTTCATTGAATTATTTTTTATTGAGTTAAGTTGATTTAAAACACTGCATATAACTTGGGAGTATAGGTTCACAACCCTCTTCAGATGTCTGTTATTTCTTAATATTCACCAAATTTCTGATTTTCAATATAGTGTTTGACAAACAACATATCATTTGGAAGACAAAGTCCTTAAATTTATAATTTCACTAACTTTATTAGTCTGTAAGCCTTGAAACATCAGAGATATTAATAATCAAAATATTCAGTACCTGTACAGGAAACCACTTATTACTTTTTTAAGTTGTCTGCTATATTATGGGTACAAAATGGAAAAAGTATGAATAAACTATTAGGTACTCTTTGACCATGGTAGTGTGATAACATGTTGCTTGTCAAGAAAATCCTCATCCTCCTCTTCTGTGCTGCTCTCAGAAAGTGTCAGTAAAGACAGAATTTCAGTATCTTTTTCAGAAGAGCTGGAAATACATTAAAGATCAATACATAATATACAGAAACAGGTTTCAACATTTCATTTATCTTCTAATCAATGCTATATAAGTTGAAGTCATTGAAGGTAAGTTGAAGTGAGGGGCCTGCCTCACACTGGGACCATAATTTTCAATGTGCCCAATACACCAGCCCACCTTTTAATGAGAAATTCTAATCATTCTCTCTTTCTCAAGAAATAAAGCCACAATGGAACCAGGAAATGTTTTATGGTCTCTGGTTGTATCTTTCATTGATGATTCAGAAGGCACTTCAGAAATATGCAGAGCTTCAGGGTCATCATTAAAAACATTCATCATTTGGGCCTCTCTGGTGGTGTAGTGGTTGAGTGCTGGGATGTGAAGCTGCCCGCAGCCTCTGCAGCACCGGTTTGATTCCCGGCTGCTCCCTGGCCACCGGAGGAGGGTCCCACATGGCGCACAGTCCTCTCCTGCTGCCCGCTGCTCCCCTCAGCAGTGTATTTGGGTCTTTCTGCCTGCTCTGCTCCCCACTCTGGCTCTAGTGAATTCTCTCACCCTCCTGCGCTTCTGACTGTACCCAGTGCTTGTATAAATATAAATAAAAATAAATAAATCTTAAAAAAAAAGAATTGAGTAAAAACATTCATCATTACATAGGCTATTTAATACAATTTCAATGAATAGACTGCCAGGTATATTGCCTCTTTTGTGTACAGTAAATTAGGACTATGCAGATAGCCAGTCAAGATATGTCAAAACCAAGATTAATGACAGCAATTATTCAGTTATTTCATTTTGTTCTAATTTATTGTGGAGAGGAACTGGAAGAAGCTCTAGCATGCAGGTATCTGAGGTTTGAGAGAAGAAGGAGAACAGAGAGGAATTGTATAATTCAGACTTTTTAGTCCACGTATTCTAGATTTTCAGCCCATACATGCCCCTAAGCAATATAAATGACTCTGTGATATATATGGCTGTTATTTGGATTCTTGTTTTTGTCTAACACAGGCTAAATCAGCAGTCCCTAAACTCTGATCTGTGAATCAGTGTGGATTAATGATTACATTTTTCACTGATATAAGAAAAGTATAAAAAATATGACAAGGTAGTGACTAAAGAACTGTATTTTGTTAATATGATCTCCTTATATTTAGAGCAACTGTCTTGCTTTTATGAATGATGGTGAGAGTTTGTAGTAGATTAAATTACTTGCTTTTAATGATTTTTAGGAAAAAATAGCAATAGATGCCTTTTTAAAAAAGAAATTTAAGTGATATTAGAAATGCAAAAATCCAAGAACCACAGGTAAATTATTTCATTCCTTCTGAAAGAGTAATAGACTCTTGATTCCTTTTTATTGCAACATTAGACTTCAGACCAATGAAACGGATTTTTAACTCAAGGGCCTTTTATTTTACTTTATCTTGGTCCTTATGGAAGGAACTTTCCTCCAGTTTCAAGAAATTTCAACATGTCAACAGACTAATTTTCTGAGCTACTCATAAGTATAACCTATATTCTCTATAAATCAATCACCATTCAAGAATATTATACAAATGAAAATGTTATCATTAACATTTTCTATTTTCTATTTTCAATCTAAAATAAATTTCAAGTCAATATTCTATTCTAAAAACCCAATTCATATTGAGCAAGATTCTATTAGGGCAAAATAGTAAAATTTATTAGCTTAATTAATGCAGGTAAGAATTGTTTTTCAATATAAGAAGTATAATGCTGAAGGATTATTAAATTCCAAAGTTCTCTTCATATTTTGTTACACATTGTATAACAAAGAATAATCTCTTCACATTAAAATAACAACATCTTAAGCCTTTTCCTAAATACTGATAATATCAACAAAGGACCCACACATTTTGCAAATAGCCATATAAGTACACACATAAGGACAATCTTTAAATAGTAAATAATTAATTTGGCTGTCAAAATTTTTACTATATACTATCTTTACATATAAGCTGCAAGCTTAACCTACCTCTGTTCCTCAAATCCACAGGGGTCCTTTGTACATGAGTTCTTAAGGAGATCAAGGGCAGTCTGACTTAAATTCAGTGAATGATTGTGGAAGGCTGGTAACTCTTCTGAGGTTAGGCTGTAAAGTTTTTCTGAAGGATCTGAAATATTTTATTTCATGCACTGTCAACACATAAATTTAAGAAACAAACACACAGCATACCATGCTGAAAACTTACCCAGTTAAAGCACAAGTAGCATAAAGAGGATAAGCACAGATTTTTAATCCTCTCACAATTAGTTCTAATTTTTATGAAGTGTGTAGACAAAATGTGAATTAAGTGCTATGTAATTCTAAATCTCAGAGCAAGGGTATTAAGTCACTTTAATTACATTGATTTTTATCAAGCAAATTCCCCAATTTTGTTTGTCTCAGATTAATTGAGGTAAAATTGACATGTAATCCTTTGTAAATTTAAGGTGTGAAACATGTTAATTTTAAACACTTATATATTGCAAAATGATCAGCACTGTCACATTAGATAACACCTCTATCTGATTACATAATTATCGCTTTTTTTCCCCATGGTGGTAACATTGAAGATCTACTCTGTCTGCAATTTTCAAGTATATAACATAGTATTATTAATATAATTACTATGTTATATTGTAGTTTTATTAATTATAATTACTACATTATATTTTACATACTTGAATTTATTCATCTTATAACTAGAAATTTGCACTTCTCTAGTAGTAACACCTTCCCATTTCCTCTAATAACAAATCTTAGTTTGGTTAATTAATGCAAGTAAGATGAATATTTTCCCAATATAAGATGAAATGCTAAAAGATTACTAATTTCAAGTCTTTTCATTTTTATGACACACCCTGTATAACAGAATTTTCTCTGGCATTCTAGTGTATGTTTTTGAGTGGCTTTTGTGAGATTCCACATACAAGTGACATCATATAGCATTAGTCTTCCTCTGTCTGACATATTTCATCTAGACATATTGATTTTTAAATATCCATTATAATAGTCAAACTTCCTGAGAATTCACAAAATTCCAAAGAAAATTAGGTGATTGTCTTTAAAGCTAGAATATCATGCCACTCTTCAACTAGCCTACATGCAAAAAACTTTATTATCTGTTTTATTCCTCTTACAAATAAAAGTTGGATCCCTGTGTAATTTGAAGTAAAGTTTAAACTTGACAAACTTGCCCTTTCTTTTTCAGATCCCTTCGTTGTTTCATTCACTAAAGAGGATCTCGAGAAAACAAACAGATAAATTTAAAAATGTTCACCATTGCTACCAATAAGAGAGATGCAGGTTAAAATCACAAAATGATATTATCTCACAACTAGATACCATGGCTCATGTTAAAAATACTTTCAGGGCCTCCCTGATGGTGCAAGAGGTTACGCACAGCACCGTGAAGCTATCTCCAGTTGGCCAGGGAGCAACTCACATGGCGGAGCAGACCTCTCTTGTCTTGCCTGCTGCTCCCCTCAGCAATGTGTTTCAGTCAGTCTGCCTGTTCTGTTCCCCGCTCTGTCTCTGGTGAATCCTCTCACCCCCCCACATCTCTGGCCTGTACCCCAGTTCTTGCATGCATAAATAAATAAATCTTTAAAAATAAAAGACTTCCAATAAGAAATGCTGGAGAGGATGGAGAGGATGTGGGAAAGAGGAACTTCGTACTGTGGGTGGGAATGCAAATTGATGGAAACAATAAGTAAAGTGATTTGGATTCACCTAAAAAACTAAAAATGGAACTGCTATATAACCCAGCTATACCACTCCTAGGCCTCTGTCCAAGAAACATGAAATCATCAACTCAAAAATACTATATGCTCTATAGTGTTTATCTCAGCAGTATTTACAATAGATAGGACATAGAAGTAGCCTAAATGCTTATCAGTAGACTACTGAATCAAGAAGATGAGGTATAGTCACACTATGGATTGTTAGTCACCCTGAAGGAAAGGTGAAATATAGCCATTAACATAAAAATGTAGGGAGTTATTATTGTAAAGCATGTGAGAATGACAAGACAAATACTGGACATTTACATAAGGATTGACAAATTAAAATGTTTAGAAAAACTAGAGGATATTATTAACACCAGGAGTGCTCTGAGGCTAAGAAGGAGGGAGGAGAAAGTACAATGGAATATAAGGGATAGTGGTGAGGGAAAAATAATAACAATTTGTATGTGAAAGGGGGAATTCTTAAGTCTCTTTTCATAAAGCTGCCCTATGTAAGGACAAAAAAAAAGGTGTAAGAAAATACATCTTAACATACACTCCCAAAAATAAGTATAGAAATAAATATAATTACTTCACTAGAAAGGCTTTAATGCTTTTTTTTTTTTTAAAAAGAAATATTTTATTTTTATATTTGTGTAGAACAGCTGGGGTGAGGGCCAGAAGTACAGGGGTGAGAGGATTCACCAGAGACAGAGTTGGGAGCAGAACAGGCAGATCTACTGAAATACACTGCTGAGGGGAGCAGTGTGGGAGAGGCAGGAGAGGTCTGGTACTCATATATGGATTAGGTATCTGGCTGGGGATCAAATTCAAGCCAATTGCCCTCGAGGTTATAGGACTGAGACTTAACCCCTAGTCCACAAGATAGGCCCCCTAATGCCTTCTTTTTGTCATGGATAAAGTAGAAAAGTCATCTAACTTATACATGAAGTTATGTGATGATTTTTAAAACTATTAAAATTACTGTGTGGTGTTCCTCCCTTCAGTCTCAAGTAAATGTCAAGTAAACATCCTCTTGATAAAAAGAAACAAAAACCCAAACACTGTATTCTATATTTAGCTGAACAGAATTTTGTGGTGGTTTTATTCAAGTTTTTGAACAACAGAGAATCTCCCACTGAAGGAAACTTAGATAATATTGCTGTAGTAAAACAGACCTAATATAGATGCAGTTGGAAATGTTCTTAAATTATTTAGATCAGTGACTTTCAAATTATGACACTGAGATAACCAGCAGACTTAGGGATGAGGTTCTCGCTCTCACAATCCCAAAGCAATCAGAGCAGATTTACTTATCCTGTTTAAATTTGAGTGTTCCATATGAGATTAATTTTAAGCAAAATAAAAGATTCATCAGCTAAAATTTTTGTCCCATCCCTACTTGTTGGTGACTTAAGGAAATGAGAGTCTACAATAGATTGGTAATTTGTTCAAGGTCATACAACTATATAGTGGAAGAGCTAGAACTAGCACTGAGCTCTTTTAGCTCACCAATATCATAAAACCCCATTTTCAGAATTTAATACTTTAGTTTTTGGCTATTTATCTTTTTTCCTATTTACCCACAAATAAAAGAAGATGGGTATGCAGGGTATCTTTATATGCCCCAAAGATAAGGAATGGGGTCAGTGAGAAAGGGATCCATTGAGAATTTGAAATTGGTAGAAGGTCAAAATAAGGGGGGTGCAATTGTATAGGGAATATAACCAAAATGAAAATGCATACATTGTGCAAAAATGAAAAATGATGTAAGAATTATATGAAATAAAATATTAAATAAAAAGAAATTGGCAGAAGGATAGGGCTAAAAACCAGTAGTGGTGATCAGACATGAAGAGTATCAGGGGGATTTTCCAACAGTTTACTCAGACTATGGCTAACTTTAGAGTTCAAATATTTAGGTGTCCAAGAAATATGGGTGCCTTGGTAGGGAATGTGGTGCAGTGACATATCTCTGAAATGGAATGATCCTATACCACTGAATCATACCCTACTGTAAATCAATGTTGCCTCAATAGGAAAATAATAAAAAAAAAAAAAAATAGGGCCTCCCTGATGGTGCAAGAGATTAAGCACAGCACTGTGAAGCTCTACATAGGCTCTGCAGCAGAGTTCAGTCCCAGGCTGGCCAGGGAGCTACCCATATGGAGCAGAAGACTTCTTCTGTCTTGCCCACTGCTCCCCTCAGCAGTATATTTCAGTGAGTCTGCCTGTTCTGTTCCCAACTCTGGCTCTGGTGAATCCTCTCACCCCCTGCATCTCTGGCCTCTACCCTAGTTCTTGCATGCATAAATAAATAAATCTTCTCTTTTAAAGATTTATTTATTTATTTGTACAAGCACTGGGTACAGTCAGAAGCATGGGAGGGTGAGATAATTCACCAGAGCCAAAGTAGGGAACAGAACAGGCAGACTGACGAAGACAATGCTGAGGGGAGCAGCGGGCGCGGCAGGAGAGAACTGCGCACCATGTGGGACCCTCGCTGGTGCCGGGGATCGAACCAGCACTGCAGAGGCTGCTGGCAGCTTCTCAGCCCAGTGCTCAAAAGCTGTGCCACAGGGAAGGCCCTAGAAACACATTTTTTTAAAGATTTGTTTTTATTTATACAAGACTTTACAGGCCAGAGGCACAAGAGGGTGAGAGAATTCACCAGGGACAGAGCAGGGAGCAGAACAGGCAGATGACCAAAAACACTGCTCAGCGTAGCAGCAGGCATGAAAGGAGAGGCCTGCTATGCCATGTGGGTATCTCCCTGGCTGGCCAGGAATCGAATCTGCGCTGCATAGGCTGTGGACAGATTCACAGCCATGCACCCAACGGGCTGTGCCACTGAGGAGGCCCAGGCATTTGAATCTTTGTTGAAAGAACAAAGAGCTATTTCAGATTGTAGAAATGGAATGGGCCTGTCTTTATAGCAATAGAATTATTCATTCTCAAAATTGTATTTCAGAATACCCGAAATATAACAAATTTAACATCAGTGGATTTTCAAGGCAGAGAAGAATAAAACTGCTTAAAAAAAAAAAAAAAAACTTATTACAGCTTCGTGTTAAACCTAAAAGGTCAGTTGTACAAAAATCTAAGTATTCTGATTTTTGTAAATAGTAACTGAGGCCACAGGTGATGCAATAACTGGCCACAATCTTCCATGGGTGTGCAGTGGAGTCAAAGATGAAACCCAAATAATTTATTTCTAACATAGAAACAGGAATGACTAGATTGAGATTTACATCAGAAATTTTACTTTTTTTCATACATGTATTTATTTACTTTTTAAATTATTATTATTATTAGTAGTATTTGTGTGTGTGTATGTGTGTAGGACCCTCGCTGGTGGCCAGGAAACGAACCGGCGCTGCAGAGGATGCAGGCAGCCTCGCAGCCC